AGATAGATAGATCGATAGATCGATAGATCGATAGATCGATAGATAGATAGATAGATAGATAGATAGATAGATAGATAGATAGATAGATAGATAGATAGATAGTTCCATGCTTATTGTTCTATAATTTGTTGTTTGTTTGGCTGAGTTTGTGAACTATTCTCCAATACCCCTCCCCCCCTTTTTTTAAAATCACCACTCACCTTTACAACTGAGAAATATCGAGACGAGAATCAGCGCAAGAGACACGCCAATCACAGCCGTCTTGGACATGTTGGAGCTAACCAGGCAAACGCTGAAAGAAAAGTTAGAGTTCGAGTTTGAAAAAGGAAATTAAATTGCAAGGGGTCTAACATCCCTTGCACCGCTTTAAGCTCATTTAACAGATGGTACCTCCGAAATCGACATCCATCATTTATAGGAGCAAGCCACATTCAGGAGCGGTTTGTTAACTGGGCAAGACCGGTGGTGCCGGTCAGATTTTTGTCAACTGAACTTTTCTGTTGACTAGAGGGTTATTGCTGATGACGATTTTCATTTAGTTTTAAATAAATCCAAACAAACATGTATCAACATTCAAAAACACCTAGTCGATTTGAAGGCGCTCAAATAGACAAGTGGGATTCACTGCTGTTTTGTCGCGACATAACCTCATTCCTTCACGTTTGTTATCGCGCCGGCTCGTAACTTTAAATCGTCTCCCGTCAAGCCGTCACGTCGCGGAACTTCGTACTACGTACGAGGCCAAATACACGGCGGGCTTTGCTTAGGCCTAGCGATGACGTCAGTCCCATGGACAAATCCATCGTCAGCCCTCAGAGCGATTAGTATATCCCTTAATTGCCAGATTGGCCTCTTTGTAGCTTACAAAATTAAGAATGAGACTATCTTGAGCAGCACAGACACATGTATTATTTTATCAGCAAAACATGTATTAATCATTCAGCCTTTCTCTAACTACTATCAGAACATTTAGTGTCAGCATGGCACTAACATTTTTTGTTCATTGACTTTTTAACCACCTATAGTTCCTGTTTGGTGACTATTCATCGCCTTCTCCCCATTAATAACTTACCTGGCCCTTAGGAGTCGGGCCGGCGAAAGAAGGAATCGTCTAGTGAAGATATAATAAGGAGAATTTTAACGAGGAGCGATAGGCACTCGGCTGTCAGAGTCTGGGCCGAAAACCCCCTCCCTCCCATCCCCTTTTCAACCCTCACCCCACCTAGACACCAAGTTCTATATTTAGCATTTGACACACTTCACCACTTTGTTACAACACAGTGTTCAGTTTTCAATTCTGAGAACTGAGAAGTGCGATGGAGTACATTTGGTGATATAATGATCGGAAACGTGTGTGCTTTGTCCAGCTTTGTACAGCATCTGATTGTAGACTTGATCTGCTTGGGACAGCGTCACTGGTACAGTAGCAATTGACTTTTTGTCATCTTACAGGACAGTTCTTATTACATATTTTTAACGGGTCCAGTGCACGTCGATGCTTTGTGTGGGGGTGTAGAAAGTACAAGTAAAGTATTGTACTGGAGGCCAGGACCAGCGGTTTATTGCTTCTCACTTTCAGTTTGTTTTCTAGCAAAGACTCACGTAGTGTTTCTTTTTCTGTGCCGATCAAGTGAATTTCTATTAATCTCAGTAACTTCCATCTTACATTATTCATAATATTGTTTCTTGACGCTGCCGCATATTTTAGCTCTCTCACATTATATTACAATGTTTACTGTGGTGTGTGTGTGTGTGTGTGAGTGGGGGAGGGGGTGGGGATGGCAAAAGTAGGGGTATAAAATAAGGAGAGAGAGAGAGAGCATGTGTGTGTGCGTGCGTGCGTGTGTGTGTGTGTGTGTGTGTGTGTGTGTGTA